ACTGAGGCTGTCTGTGTCCACAGTGGCCACCATTTGTGAAAATAGACAATATCCAGGTGAACTCCCAGGCGGCCACCCTTCAAGATGCATCCAGGTTGACCAGCAGCCTGGTGATGCAGAACATGGTGCAACTTCTGAGCATCAGCAGGACCAGAACCAGTGCAACATGCCCATCAGTGTGGCACACATCCAGGAGAAGACCTGCAACCTGTTCTGTGACTTCCAATGTGAGTTGAACCAGGGTGCCTATGTCGAATCTTCTGGGCCAGTCTCTCGCTTCTAGGCAAGCCAAGCCTGCAAGGCCTGTGGGGAGTAGCCTGGCAGCAGTGACTATCCAGTGCAGGGGAGGTATGTAAGCTCCAGGCATTGCTGCGCAGGGGGAACCAGAAGGGCAGCTACTCGGCCATGTCAGAACCTGGGGCTCTGAGTCCCTAGATTCTTCTGAATCCTGCTTACTAACAAATACACCAAGTGTCCGGGCAGGTTCCTTCTCAACCCCTGCTCGCTACACTAACTGTTGGGTTTGAGCCCTATGCTAGGGGCTGGACTTCTTGGATGCTGGATGATAGATGGAAAAGCCATGAGATGTGAGTGTATAAGAATGAGTCTTTATTGTAGAGGTCAGTGGCCATAAGCCATTAGACAAAACAGTTCTTCACAGCAAAGTCCCATACAGGCAGCCGCAAACCAACTGATAAATGAATACATCTTTCCTACAAAAGAGTAGTAGCCTCTATACCCACAACCATTATCTAAGCAGCTCCACACTGACTCTGGACCTACCATCTCACATAGCAGCAGCACCCGAGCTCTCCCTTAGAGCTATAGCCTCAGGATCCTCTCCAGCCTATCTCACCTCTCCCAGCCTTTTCCCCAGCACATTGGTGGTTAAGATGTATGACACTATTTAGACAAAAGAAGCTTCTTTCCAAGTAGTGACCTTTTTGTGCACCTGCAATAGTCCTTGGTTAAGATTCCCATGTTCAGAGTGGCCTTGGCCGAACAATACACTATCAATAAGGCCTTTCATGCTCTGAGTTGCCTTGACTATCCAGAGACTCTGGAATAGTTCCCACAGACCTGCAGATTTTCAGCATGGACAAGACCAGGCTTTTCTGGAATCGACTGCCCCATAGGACACTCCTTTCTGTGGAGGACAAGTCAGCCCCTGGGTCCAAAGGTGCTAAAGAGGTCCTAACTCTGCCACTCAAGGGCAACACAGCAGGTAACATCAAGCTGAAGCCACTGTTGGTGTCCCCCTCCCAGGTTCCAAGGGTGCTTAGGTACCTCTCTAGGCCCAACCTGACTATGCTGTGGTGCTAGCACAGGATGGCTCGGGTGACCATGAGCCTCTTCTAGGAGTGGTTTCTGCACTTCTATTTGGCTGTGGAGAAGTACTGAACCCAGCACGGCCTCCAGCACAAGGTGCTGCTCATCTTGGACAGTGTGTCAGGCCATCCTGGGAACCTAGACAACCTCTCAGACCACTTGCATGTGGAGCACCTGCCCAAATACACCATGGCCCTCATCCAGCCCTTGAACCAGGATGTTGTTGCCACGTTCAAGGCCTGCTACCTATGAAGGGTCTTCCTTTTCCTGGTGGGTTGGGTGGGGTAGTGGGAGGCACCCAAGCAGTCAGCAGTTCTGGCCTTCTGGAGGACTACAGTGTCCTCAATGCCATGTAGAGCATCTGAGTCCAAAGAGGAGATCCCATCCTCCATGCTGAATCAGGGATGGCAGAAACTGTGACCAGAGTGTGTCCAGTAGTGGCAAGAGAGTGGAAACAGTCTTATAGATACCACACGATGTCATGGTGCTGGTGCATAGTGGAGATTTCAGGGCAGTGGTGGGAGCAGGCATGGTGGAGCTGCAGCAGAGCCGCAGGGCTGACATGTCCAATATTGAGCTAATGTTGCTGAAGCAGTAGTGTGCTGTAGGGGAAGAGGGCAAATACAGCTCCCTTCCCCATGCCAGCTCACCACCAGGCACATTGGAAAGGCACTGGTGCACTTTGATGCTGGCCTGCAGACCTTCCGTGACAAGGACCCCAACCTGGAGCCCAGCCTCAAAGTCTGCTGGGGTGTCAACGACATGATCGGTTGCTATTGGCAGCCCCTCAAGGAAAAGAGAGGTCCAAGTAAGGGGCCCAGGGGTATGTGTGCTAGGGCTCAGGACTGTGGGAAGCAGATCCCATTTTCATCTTTCATGTGTGAAATGGTCAGAATGTTTCCTTTTCATCGTATCCCCACAATATTTTTAATCAGCAACTACTTTATTATCACAAGTGAACCTATCAAATACATGGTTTCAAAACTCTTGATAAATTCCTTAGACAAAGGTGAACCTGACTTCCTAGGGGGGAAGCCTATGAGAAAGCCTGGATCACTGTGCATCAACCTGGCTCCCCACCCCCACCCCCTCCAACCCCAAGCTCCATTGCACTGAGCTGTCCCTGTCTTTAGAGGTGAGGTCTTAGAGTGGGTGAACTTCCAGTCAAGAGAGAGGCTATGCTTGTGGTCTTGACCTCTCACCTATCATAGAGAGAGCAAGGGCTAATCCCAGAGGACCTCCAGAATGCCTGGGGTCCAGAGAAAGGGCCTAGGTGGGAAGGGTACCTGTCCATATACCTCTCAGTGTTGCTCCTACGGTGCTTCTTATCACCCTGTTTTTTTCCTCCAAAATGATCTGTGCCTGGCTGAGTGGCTGGGGAGTGGAAGGGACTTCATGATGAGATGACAATGCCCACAGCCATGAGATGGCTGCATCTGCTTCTGGAGTCCCCCAGTCCCCTCATCCCCCAGTCCCCTCATCCCCCCAGCCATCCAGGGCCAGCCTGAGGCACAGACAAGCCTCCGATGGTGACTGCCCAGCCACCCAGAGCCGCCTGAGGTTCAGGTAACAAGGGATGGATGAGGCTTGTGCTGCTGGCAGTAGCAGCAGCAGAAGTGTGATGGGGGCATTGCCTTCCCCAGATTGCTGGGCTGTCTCCCACCCCTGAGGGCTCCCAAACTGTGAGAGGGGCCAGGCCAGGCTGAGGGACCCTCCACCTCCAATGCATGAATTTTCATGCACTGGGACTCTAGTATGTATATATTTCTGGAGAATTATAAGGGAGAGATCAACAACAAAATTCATAGCGGGGACATTAACAACCCACTTACTTCACTGGATAGATATTTCAGACATAAACTTCACAAGTAAACACTGACTCTAAAGTACACACTAAATCAGATGGATTTCACTGACATTTATAGAACATATCACCCCAAACATGCCAACTATACATTTTTCTCAAGTTCACATAGATCTTTCACAAAGATAGCCCACATGTTGGGACACAAAACAACTCTACAAGTTCAAAAAGTCAGATCACAGTGGAATAAAATTAAAAAAATTAAGCATCTTCTGAGATCACAGTGGAATGAAATTAGAATTCCACTACAGTAAAATACCCCAAAACATTCAAACACATGGAAGATAAGTAGCATGTTATTAAAAAAATGGGTTACCAATGAGATCAAGAAAGGAATCAAATTTCCTGGAAACAAATGAAAATGAACACACACCAAACCAAAATCTCTGGGAAACAGGAAGAGCAGTCCTGAAAGGGAAGTTCATATCACTACAGGTTTACCTAAAAAAAAATTAATAAACTATTAACACTACAACTTAAAGAACTAAAAATAGAATGAGTAAGCAGAATGAAGGAAATAATATAGATTGCAGCAGAAATAGATGACATGGGGACTAAAAAAATACTATCAATGACATCTAGAGCTTGTTCTTTGAAAAGATAGAAAAGATTGATAAACTGTTAGCCAGACTCATTAAGAAATAACAAGAGAGGACCAAATAAATAAAATCAGAAACTAAAGTGAAGAAGTAACCACTGACACCACAGAAATACCAAATTTTGTAATAAACTACTATGAACAACTATATGCCAACAAGCTGGACAATGTGGATGAAATGTATAAATTCCTAGAAATATACAATCTCTCAAAAATAAATCAAGAAGAATCAGAAAACCTGAAGAGGCCAATAACAACTGATGAAATAGAAGCAGTAATTAAAAAAAAAAAAACTCTAAGCAAACAAAAACCTGGTCCAGATGGCTTCACAGGGGCATTTCACCAAATATTCAAAGAACTAACTATCCTCTTCAAAGTATTCAAAAAAAAAAAATCCCAGAGGATGGAATATCTCTTTTTATGAGGCATATATTATTCTAATTCCAAGATCACATAAAAACACTACAAAAAAAGGAGAATTACAGGCCAATATCCCTGATGAACATAGATGCTAAAATCCTCAAAATATATTAGCAAACAGGATCCAGTAAAATATTACAAATACTAGAGGCCCTATGTATGGATTCGTGCACTGGTGGGGAGTATGGCCTATGGGGATTGGCCCATTGTGGGAGCGCTCCTCATCCCGGTCAGTTAAGCAGCAGTGAACCTGCCTTCTGAGTAGCTGCTGAATGAGGAAATTAGTCTGAACTGATATTTCAGGGTAATATCTTGGGTAAAGGTGTGTTCTCGGTTCTGCAGGAACCTGACGGAGAAGTTTGCACCCCAAAGCCACTCAGCAAGTGTCTTTGATGTATGATGCGAAGTCAGTGACACCATCAGGGATGTTCAGAGCAGCCATGCTCCACAGTATTCTCAGCCACGAGGACGGCCTCCCCAGGGGGTCCACAGTCATGTCCCCTCTTGCCAACCATGTATGCCAGTTCCCCATGCTCTTTCTAGAACACACCTTAGAGCAGCAGTAGCCAAACTTTCAGACCTCATGGACCAATAGTGGTCCACGGACCACCAGTTGGCTGCTCCACCACCAATCACTGCTCCAAAGATTTCTTTAAACCTGTCTTAGAGGGCCTGCATCAGCTGGCGGGGTCAGGCCAAAGTTTGGATTGTCTCAAGTAGGTGCAGGTTTGATAGATGCAGAGACTTGGCCTTACCTTGGGCCTCAGGAGCAGCCACTCATCCTGTTCAGCTGAGCAGCACTCCCCCCTGTGGGAGTGCACTCACTACCAGGGGGAAGCCCCTGAGATTTCTTTAAACCTGTCTTAGAGGGCCTGCATCAGCTGGCGGGGTCAGGCCAAAGTTTGGATTGTCTCAAGTAGGTGCAGGTTTGATAGATGCAGAGACTTGGCCTTACCTTGGGCCTCAGGAGCAGCCACTCATCCTGTTCAGCTGAGCAGCACTCCCCCCTGTGGGAGTGCACTCACTACCAGGGGGAAGCCCCTGCATTGAACATCTGCTCCCTGATAGTCAGTGCACATCATAGCTACTGGTGGGCTGGTCATTCTGGTCATCTGTTTGGTTGTAGAAATGTAAACCTTTTCATTTGTGTACCACGCCTGATCTTACTTTTGTAAATTTTTGTTAGCAAGCTCAAGGACAGCCTATGCTTTTTTATTATTAATACTAGAGGCCCAGTGCATGAATTCGTGCATGGGTGGAGTCCCTCTGGGTGACCTGCAGGGATCAGACCAAAACCCTAGTCCAATGCTGCCTACAGCTCCTACCTGCCACTCCACTCATCCCAGCCCCATTGTGCCTGCTATAGGCTCACGCCTAATCAATCCTGATTGGGAGAGGCTTGCACTGCCACAGAAGCACTTGTCATCCATGATCCCTGCATCTAGCACCCTCCCAAAGAGAGTGGCCTGCAGGATCAGGCTGAAACTGGTTTTCCAACATCCCCTGAGGCATCCCAGATTGTGAGAGGGTGGCCAGGTTGAGGGACTCCACTGATGTATGATTGGGCTGAGGAGGGACTATAGGAGGGCTCCAGGGCATTTCCAGCCCATCTTGCTCAGTCCCCATGAGCTGGAGCACAGCATAAAGCTAACCTATCAGTTGGAGCATCTGACTCCTGGTGATCAGTTCATGTTATAGTGGCTGGTTGACCAGTCCACTGTCTTCCCCCTGGTGGCCAGTGTATGTCATAGGAAGTGGTTGAGCAGCCTTAGCATATAATTAGCATATTACTCTTTTATTAGTTGTTTGGTTGTTCTACTGTTCCGTCTATTTTCATATTACCCTTTTATTATATAGGATAATGACTAAGTGGGATTTATTCCAGGGATGCAAGGCTGGTATAATATTTGCAAATCAACAAACATGATACATCACATAAACAAATTGAAAGACAAAAATCATATGATTATTTCAATAGAAGGAGAACAAGCATTCAACAAAATCCAACACCCACTTTTGACAAACATTTTAAGCAAAGGGGGAATAGAGAGAGCATATCTCAAAATGGTAAAGGCCATATATGACAAACCTACAGCAAAGATCATATTCAAAGGGCAAAAACTAAAACCTTATTCCCTAAGAACAGGAACAAGATAGGGATGTTCACTTTCAATACTCTTATTTAACAGTAGAGGGCCAATGTATGAAATTCATGCATGGGTAGGGTCACTAGGAGCTGCCAGCCACAAGCCAGGGCCTCCCTCCCCTGGATACTGACTGATGGCCTGAGCTTTCCTTCATTCCATGCCACCCCCTGATGGTCAGTGCATATCACAGCAAGTGATCAAATTCCCAGTTGGTCAAAATCCT